TCGGCTCAGGTCATGATCTCAAGGTTCATGAGTTCGAGCCCTGCGTGGGGCTCTCCACTCTCAGCAGAGTCTGCTTCAGATCCTCTGTCTCCCTCTCTCTCCGCCTCTCCCCTGCTCACTCTTGCTCACACTCTCTCTCTCAAAAATGGATACACATTAAAAAAAATTTTTTTAAATAAAAATTTTAAAAAGTAAAATGGAATAATCTACACATTTAAAAAAAATTTTTTTAATGTGTATTCATTTTTGAGAGACAGAGAGACAGAGCATGAGCGGGGAAGGGGCAGAGAGAGAGGGAGACGCAGAATCCGAAGCAGGCTCCAGGCTCTGAGCTGTCAGCACAGAGCCCACTGGCGAAGTCCCGAACTCACAAGAACTGTGAGATCATGCCATGCAGTGCCTGAAGTGAGGTGCGTGATCTTGAGTCAGCCCAGGCCACATACTAACTGATTGAGCCCAACCAGGTCTCCCCCCATTACCAACGTTTTAAATGGATTCTGGGGGTGCTGAACTATATTCTTAGAGGGTAACCTTAGGATGGATTCTGAAGACAATGAATTAAACCCTGTCTTGGTGAAGACGGGATGACTGTGTGTGATTTCAACACTCTGTCTTTGCATTTCTCTATTTAAGATGCACAGTAGGAAAGTTAGACTGTGCAGCCACGGAAGTGCTCAGTTGGCTCTCCCTCAGGAAATAACCTGTTGCTCAGCGGTGAGGAGTGCCCCTTGTGACGGCTCGTGGCCCCAGACCTCACCGCAAAACAGTGCTTTATAATACATAAAAGAGAAGACACAGGCTACGTAATTTAAGAGCTGATTCCGTAATGTGCCAATAACAAGAATACAGCAGCAGGTCTAATGCCATATTTCTAGTAGAGAGACTGTAAATGACATTTCAAGATACCCGCGATAACAGTAAGGTGACAGGACATTACCTGCGAATTCTCCTGCTGGAAAAGTCTACTGGTCTGCTGATACCACTGGGCGTTATTGTCTATATTCATCACTGAAGGAAGTGCTAACAGTAGTTGGGGGCAAATGAAAACAGAGATATTTTTGTTTTCACATCCAAGCTCAGGGGCTCCTTAAAATCCAGGGGAAAGTGTCAGCCTGTGTGGTATTGGCAGCTCCAGGGTGGCACCCCCGGGGTTCTCGGACCTCCTCACACTTCCTCCGGGTGCGCCTTTGATGTATGTAAATGGACGTGGGCTAGAGACCTGTCAGAGGAACACAGACGCCCCTTCCTCTTACCTGTCGTGCTGTCACTTAGTCTGTATTTGTTTTCCCGTATAGAACTGATCTCAGCCTGTTGGAACACAAAAATGACTTCAAAGAATTTTCCTGAATATGATATTCCACAAAAGAAGCAAGCAAATTTTCCTGGGTTTACACAGAACAGGTTTCCTTCTAAAAAAAAAAAAGTTAGAAAATCGCCAGGAAAGGGAATATTTTAAAATATAAGTGAATAAAAGTGATGATGATCTACTGAGATATGATTTGTAAAACGTGAGGTTCCAGAGCGTGTGATCTCAAAATAGTTTTCAGGAACTTTATTTAGTAAGTAAAATACAAATATCTTTTAAGATTATAATAACTTTATGTAATAGTGAACTTAGTGGGCTATGTCCTAAAACCTGAGATGGCAAATATTAGTTTCATAATGAAGTCAAATACAAGTCTTACCTATCTGGATAATATACTGATTAAAATACATTAGAAATACTGGTTTAGCTTCACTATTTTATAAATTAACTGTTATTAGTATATTTTTATTAATATTTTTAAGAGAATTTGTAGTAAATAAGACCTGTCAGGGAAGATAAAGGTAATTTTATAAGGGAATACAAAATTTTATGATCATGGGTTGACAATCCCCTAAAGATCTCCTCTAAACCTTTGCCCCTGAATATGTGTCTGTAAATAAATACATTGTAAAAGTTCTTGCAACTTCAAAGCCAGACTCTCATTTCAAAACAAAATGCAATGAGTTGCCAGAAATTACTATGTTTCATCTAGATGAGCGGTGGACTATGATGAGAGAGAGAAGTTTTCAGCAAAGGAACTTTTGTAAAAGCCCAAATGCTAAAAATAAAGTGGCTCATTTTTGGCAAGTGCTTATCTTTACAAAAGCTGCCTTTTCGCTTTATAAAAATAGATGTTTATTTTTCTTTTTCAACTATCTTAAAGTACAATAAATGGCACCCATTTGAAGTTTACAGGTTGAGTTTTGACAGGTACACACTTATGGAACCACCATGATAACCAAGATACAGAAGGTGTCCATTAGGTCTACAAGATTCTGCATGCTTCATCACAGCCAATACCTACCCACCCTATCCCCGGGTAACCTCCACTCTCCTTTTTGCATTTGCTAGAATTCCTATAAATGGACTGTCATGGGTATGAATATGTGTCGGGCTTTTTTCACTCAGCCTGATGATTTTCAGATTCACCCATGATGCTGCTTACGAAGGACATTTGGATTGTTTCCAGTTTGGGGATATGTGAATAAAGCTTCTGCAAACTTTTGTGTATACAACTTTGTGAGACATAAGTTTTCATTTCTCTTGTAAAAACATCAGTGAGTGGATGGCTAGATCATATGTTAGGTGTGTGATGAACTTTTAAAGAAACTGTCAGTTTTCCAAAGTAGTTTTGCCACTTTACATTCCTACCAACAGAGTATGATAATTCTAGTTCCTCCACATCATCACCACCATGTAAAAATACACTTCTTAAACTTTAGCCATTTTAAATGGTGTCACTTTTTATCTTTTTGAGATTTTTTTTTTAAAAAGAAATGAAAGGCTTTTTACACTCTAATGCTGAAAATTGAAATTTATTCTTCTCTGGAATGCACTGCATCCTTTGAGCCATAATCATATTAGAAGACATTAGGGTACTAATTGTAAAAGTATAACTTCCTTTCCTTTCCTCATTTAGGTATTCATATTAAGAATTTATTAATAAAATCTAGTTAAAGTGTGGGAAATGTTAGGTTGACGGGATCTTTTTCAGATCACTGTACATCCAAGTTAAAAGATAATTTATTTTGGGGCTGCTGGGTGGCTCAGTCAGTTAAACACCTGACTCTTGGTTCTGGCCTATGTCATGATCTCACAGTTTTGTGAGTTCAAGCCCTGCATGGGGCTCTGCACTGGCAGGGCGGAGCCTACTTGGGATCCTCTCTCTCCCTCTCTCTGCCCCTCTCCCACACACGCTATCTCTGTCTCTCTCAAAATAAATAAACTTAAAAAAAAAAGTAATTTATCTTCAGTAATTCTTAGATGGGGGAAAGAAGTATACAATTATTCCACTGCAATTTCATTTTAACAATTAGAAATTTTATTTTCTTTCCAAGCATAATTTCCTAGTGATGGTTAGGTAAACAGACAGTAAATGAAAATATCCTCCCATTTCCTAAAATACCTTCCAACAAGAAATTTAGAGAATTCGGTAGAAAGGATTTTCTAAAATTAATGCATATTAGCTTTATAGTCAGGAAAAGTTTAATTACAAATATACAATTACTTGTCAGTAAGACACCAGAGAACAATCCTCATTTCTTTCTTTTTGATGGGCATTATATCAACTCGATTTAGTAAGAAGATTGGTTATCAGTTAAGTTCTTATCTTTGTCCCTTTTTTTAAAATCAAGAAAATTAGGTGTTACTTATGGAATGTAATCTATTCATTCTACTTTTTTTGTGTGGAGTCCATGCCAGAAGAAATAACTGAGGGGTGCTTCGTGATGAAAAGGTTGTCAATCAATCACTGGGAAGTCTATTCTGTTTTGTCCGATGTTGTACCACTTAAATCATGTCTATTATGTCTCTTAAAATTCAAAATAAATTGAACACAGACAGGAAATACCTTGAAGGGTGGTTCAGCAAAGAACACAGATTCCTTTCCCGAAAGTGGCGTTGAAGTTATTGATCTTGGGGAAGACACATCACTCAACTTAAAAAAACAAAATGAAAATCACAGATAAAGAACGTTTCTTCAAAGACTTTTCTTCTCCAGTGCAAAGGATTAGCCTATTTAACAAATGCAAATAAATCTAACAGTAACCATCCTTAGTTTCACTTAATCCAAGGGTATCTTCTATTTAATATGGCACCTCAAGTACTTTTTGGAAGTTTGCAGAGTATAACTAACTTTCTTCCTATATTTTTACTGGAAGCAATTTTCAAAATCTATAAAACTTCTGTGGCATGTTGGGAATATTATTGATGAATATGCTAACATTTAACATAACTTATCAGAGGAGATATTCCTCTCAACTATTTGAGAGATTTCATAGACATTCGAGCTGCCTCCTATCTGTAATAGTCACTATCAGCTCAGAAATGAAACCTGCTTTTAATATTAGCCAACCTTCAATGTAATTAGAAAGGCAAATATATTTGAACAGAATTTTGAGAAACCAGCTAAAATTCATTTTCAATTAACTGCCTCACCAGCTACCCATTCTCCCCGCCTTCACTTGAGCTGTTCATGTGAGCTACTAATTCTTTCTTTTCTTTCTTTTCTTTTCTTTCCTTTTCTTTCTTTTTTTTTTTTTTCCTGGAGGCTTTAAAAAAAGATCCTGTTCAATTCCCCAGCCTTGCACTAAATAAGAACCAACATTATTTACATACTAATAATCAACATCTTTCATGCCATTATCTGTAATTTAAAACCAGTAAAGAAAATTTTAAATGTGCATTTAAGAGTCAATTCTAAACATTTCATTTTGGCCTAAAGATAAAATGACAAAATCATGGCTTTTTCTGTTGTTGTCATATGTTTGTTCAATGTTGGTTTACTTTTGTTTTTACCTGGGTAGGACTGATAGGAGGTGGTGGAGCTTTGCGTTTTTTTGGAGTTCCACTTCTTTCTGAGCTTATTTTAGAGACTTGATCATGCTGGAAGTTATCACAGTCCAAAGAATGGAGGTGGGTTAGTTCGGTTAGTAAAGTCTGAGCAAACAGCTTCATCAAACAAATGAGAAAAACCTCAACAGTTCATGCATTTCTTACTTCAATAAGATCTGACATCTGCTACCAACATAAAAATAAGTAATATGCATGCTTCAAGTTTTCTTCCAGCAGCCCATGCTTTAATAGCCAGAAAATAAAAAACACAAGACAAAACCAGAGTAAGTTGGTGTGGAGAATTGGGAAAGTAGAGGATGGGGAGCTGCCTGCCCCAGTTTAGAACCCAGAATACAATGATAGTCTAGCCATCTTAATGCAAAGCAGTGGTATTTCCTCCACCTTTGCATTACTTCCACTCCTTTTTAAAAAGAATGTCAATATGGGGGCAAGCGGAAACGTCTTCTCTGAAGGTTATGGATAAATAAGTGACACAGTTAGTACCTAATAAATTCAGTATTGGCTATTTCCTGTCTATGATAATTTTTCAAAACCTTTGATGTGTAAGTAAATAAATGTAACCGCCAACTATACATCTCATCAAAAAAGTAAACAATGGTGACAATGTTTTTAGGAAAAAACTCCAAAATAATAGGGCAATCTTCTCAATTTCTATCTAGAACTCTAACAACATTTTAGAAAAGTTCCAATTAAAATGAAAGGAAAAGCTAACCCTCTTATATTCATTAAATATCTAACACTCTCATGGATAGAGGTCTATAATCCATGGGATACACAAGCATTTAAAATATTGTTGTTGTTCCTTCACAGAGCTAACCAAACATTTTCACAACAGAAAATATTAGTACATTTCCGAAAAAGATGAATATATAAGTAGCAAGTTTAAAGTCACATGCTTTGGAAACAGGGTAAACCATTAAGAAAACAGTTACCACCTTCTAACAATGAATCATCTATTCTAAAGATATTTTACTCCTTAAGCATTTTCAACATAGTTTTTATCACTTTTCTAGTGGAGCACAGAGTGGTTTAATCAGAACATTTTCAAATTCCCACAAGCTATGATGACCAAAAAAAATTCTCTCCCCCAAAGATAAATACCTGCTTTGGTTTTGTTGGTGTCTTTGAATCTATAGAGGAAAAAGTGGGGAAAAAAATAAATAAATAAAGGTAAGAACCATGACTCACATCTACTTTGGGTGGGAGATACACACATGCACACTCACACCCATACACACAACAAACACAGTATTTAACACTACATTTTTCTTCAAGAATATGTTTAAAAGAATAATAAAATAGATCATATTGTGCACATTCCTTTACCCTTTGGGGAAAATGGAGTGGATAAATTTAAAACAACACTGACTATTTTCTTTCACATACCAGAATCCTGAGAGATTTTTGATAATAGAAGGCTTTGAATTCCTGCATTTTCTGAGAGTTTGGAATAATGTAAGGCATTGTGTCCAAGAGAATCTACAAGGTTTAGGTCTGCACCCTTTTTAATTAAGGCTTCCACAATATTAGAGCTGCTGATCTCACAGGCTAGCATGAGAGCAGTTCTAAAGAAAAAAAAAAGAGATACCAAATTAATACAACCAAAATGGGGAAACACTTTTCTGAGAAATCACTTATCCTGAAAACAAGGAAAGAAAGATGAAGTACAGTTAAATATATACACTTAATGGACTGCTAGTGAGATGAACCTAGGGGTGTTTTTTTAACTTCAGATTGAATCAAAACATTAAACCATATAAGGTCAAATAATATAGACATAATCTTCTAAATATGATGGAATTTAATATGATTGGCACCAATCATAATATGATGGCACCTTTCACCTCAAGCATTTTAAAGTATCTATACATCATTAGGACTATTTTTAAAAGCAGCCAATATGTTTAATTTTGCATGAAAAGCCATCGGAAATGGCCTAGTCACTTCAGTATTTAATAATCGCATCACAGAGGTCTAGGGGAAATTTTTTTTTATGTCAAACAGATTCTCGATTATCAAAAGAGGCAGAAGGGGCATTTGGCCGGCTCAGTCAGTAGAGCGTGTGACTCCTGATCTCAGAGGCATGAGTTCGAGCCCCATGGTGGGTATAGGGCTAACTTTAAAATTAAAAAAAAAGGCAGAAAATGAAAAAATTAAAAACACTTTATTACAAATGATCTAAAATATAGCTGTAATATTTTGAGGCTCCCAGAATGTAGATATCACTGAAATCCCATGATTTCTATTTTGGTGGTACCTTCCATTTTTGTCCCTGGAATTTATGTCTGCTCCATGATCCAGGAGAAAGCGACAGACCTCACTGTGGCCACTTTGTACTGCAAGAAGCAGTGGTATATTCCCATCCTAGGAGACAAATGTAGATTGATTTTAACTACGATCCTAAATGCCAGAATTGCATACAGAATTGCCTTGTTCTTTGTACATTTTATTCCTGAACTGTCCTGCCACCATGACAGTTTGTGTCCCGATAGGGCTGCCATGACATCTCAGCACAGCATTTTTTTTTTAATTTAAATTCAAGTTAATTAACATACAGTGTAGTATTGGTTTCAGGAGAACCCAGTGATTCATCACTTCCATGTAACACCCAATGCTCACCCCCAACAAGTGCCCTCCTTAATGCCCATCACCCACTTAGCCCATCCCCCCACCTGTCTCCCCTCCAGCACCCCTCAGACTGTTCTCTGTGTTTAAGAGAGTTTCTTATGGTTTGCCTCTCTGTTTCTATCTTATTTTTCCTTCCCTTCCACTATGTTCATCTGTTGTGTTTCTTAAATTCCACATGAATGAAATCATATCATACTTGTCTTTCTCTGACTTACTTCTCTCAGCATAACACACTCTAGCTCCATCCATGTTGCTGCAAATGGCAAGGTTTCATTCTTTTTGATCACCGAGTAATATTCCATCACACACACACACACACACACACACACACACACACACACACACCCCAATCTTCTTTATCCATTCATCAGTCGATGGGCATTTAGGCTCTTTCCATAATTTGGCTACTGTTGATAATGTTGCTATAAACATTGGGGTGCATGTGTCCCTTCCAATCAGCACTTTTGTATCCTTTGGATAAACACCTAGTAGTTCAACAGACCTCTTCTTAAGGAATTGCACTGACTGTTAGCTTTTTCTCAGGAACCTCAGCCTCATGGGCTGCTTTTTCCCTTCAGTGACCAACCCTCAGTCTGGCAGCGACATGACAGAGAGTGGAACATCAAGTATGTAAAGGCTCCAGGCAAGCATATCATGTTTACTGGAGGATGGCTTTGAAGAACAGGAGGACTTGTTTCCACAGGGCAGCAGTAGGTCCGCTGCCCTCCAAGCAGCTTCTTCCAAGCAAACTACACGCATCCTACTATCCATTCTACTATTCCCTTGCAAAGTACATGCTTTCATAACCTTACAAGTACCAGAATGGAACATTAAGAGTTTGCCTATTCTTGGCACATGACTAGATAAAGATCAATGGAAAGAATCATTTAATATGACAATTGGCAATCCTTTAAAAAAGTGCTGTAGAGGGGCACCTGGGTGGATCATTCAGTTAAGCATCTGACTTCAGCTCAGGTCATGATCTCGTGGTTCATGAGCTCAAGCCCTGCATCAGGCTTTGTGCTGACAGCTCGGGGTCTGGAGCCTGCTTTGGATTCTGTGTCTCCCTCTCTCTCTGCCCCTCCCCTGCTCATGCTCTGTCTTGCTCCCTCTCAAAAATAAATAAACATTAAAAAAATTTTTTTAAATGATGTTGAATCACTATGTTATATACCTGAAGCTAATATAACACTGTACGTTTATTACACTGGAATAAAAATAAAAATAAAGTAAAATAAAATAAAATAAGAAAATGAGATCCCAACTCATATACAAACCATGTAAGGTGATGAAGAATGTAAACATTACAACAGAAAAAAAGTGAAAAAATACTAGAAGAATACATAGGTGACTATTTCCACAATCTTAGGGTGAAGGGGTCCTAACTCAAATGATACAAAAGCTTCAAGAGAAGCTTGTATTCTGCTTATTCCTTGGAACATACCTCCCAAATGCAGTTGATAGTAACTTTTAAGGTAGATGTATTCAAGTAGGCAAAGGAAAAAAAATAAATTACAATATGTCCAATTATTTTGAAAAATACAATTGCTGCTTAAAGATTAAGTCTCCGTTTAAAATAGAATTTCAGACACATTTCTAAAAAATTATCTCTGCGAAGTTACAATACTTTCTGGTTATGAAGTACTGAGATTCAGGGATTAGGAATTTATCTACAATTCTATACACTCACATAACACTATTCCCATTAGGTATAATGCATGCGTAGCATATAATGCATGCATAGCATATAATTTCTATGCTATGGCAGGACATTTAAACTTGCAGTCAGGAGTGACTGGCATGTAAATTTATTCTCAGAGTAGCCCAGCAAGGTTAAACAGGCTAGAAGTGGTTTTCAGAGTTGGGAAATCCTAACCAGGAGTACCCAAGATGATACACGGGAAGTTAACAGAAATGACAGAACTTCTATTTAGACTTATTTCTTCTAAAAGTCAAGAAATTAAGCCTTATTAATACATTTAGGTTGATGGCAGATGACCTGAGAAACAAATGTACACATCAGGAAGTGCATGTCACAAACTGTCTTCTCAATGTGTCATTAAATTCAGAGACCAATAGAGATAATACTTGGATCCGTTTTGCAGAAGAGGATCTAGGTTGAAACGCATTAGACTTTCGCCAAATGCTGAGGTCTCTAAACGTCTTAGTGACTTGCAGAGGTAGCCCACAGTGCTCTAGACGCCAGTGTGCATCTCCACGTCGAGCAGCCGCCGGATACTTACCAAATCCTTGAGGTTTATGGGGCTTTTGTGCTCGCAAAGAGCCTGCACAGCTTGAAGGCAGCCCTGTGCCGCTGAGGGAAGGAAACAAAGACACAGCCTGTCACACAGGAGCTCTCACCAGCAGGGGCATCACATGCACCCAGGACGGAGAAGTTCGTGTTCCACCCCGTTTGCTATGTTATACTAGCTGCACTGAAGAGAAGTCGTATCCGGAAGGTTAAGTAAGGTGCTCCGAATTAGTGTTACATTTCAATGTTAATTTCCAGACCTAGAGCCACTGTCTGCCAGTTGCCTTTGTGCAAATATTTGGTTTGGCGTTTTGTAGGACTTAGCTTTGCCCCAGCTAGCACTAATAGAAATTTATAAATCTCATCACTCCCTGAGCTCGGTGTTGACGTTTTGTTACTTGGGAGCCGTGTGACAGATAATGACAAGATAGTAAAACAGAACACTCAGAAATAAAATGGGAGTTTCTTTTGATCCCCAAATCAAAAAAATCTGTATCACATATTACATGAAATCTCTAAATGCTTATGAAGATCTCTTAGCTTAAACCAGAAACTTACATTAATTAAAATATAATAACCATGGCAATTTTTACAGTTTGGCAGGCAACTGATGAATTTTAGATGTGTTCCTTGATAAAACCCTACACATTTTGCAAACTGAGGGAGACAGAAATTCCAGGAATGATGACAGACAACAGCCTCAGAAATAAAATGGTAAAGAAAATGGCTTGAAAGAGGAAAAGGACAACTGAGTATTTCTTACGGCAGGAGGATCAGTAAGAGAATGAAAGTCACCTGCATAATGTAAAGCTGTTTTCCCAGAGCTGTCCACACTTCCGGCTGGGCATTTTGACTAGAAGACAAAAAATAAATAAATACACATAATAAACATTCCGCTCTGTTGAGTTCATCCTTTTCCTGCAAGGTTGTGATGTGTCTTATCAAGAAGAGAATAAATATGAATAGGCCCCAATTGCTGTGCTCCAGGACCTACAGTCTCCTATGGGGAGGGGAGCTCCTCTCCAAGTAATCGGGACCCAGGCAAAAGGTCACCTCTTTGCTGCATTGGCCGTCCTGTCCTCCCTCTCACACTAGCATCCCATCACCGGCAGCTGACAGATACGCTCCAGGCGTTCTCATCTTGGTCCCGTCTTTCCCCCCACATTTCCTGCCTAATTCTCTAGTCCCCCTTCAGAAAACCAAGTTCCCGTAAAGAACTGCCCACATGCGATCCATGCTGCCTTGCTTCCCACTCGTTTCCAAACCCACTGCAGTTGCGTGCTGTTCTCCAGACTCCACAGAGATGGCCCCACAGTCACCAATAACCTTCGTGTTTCCCACGACAACAAACATCTGTGTCCTCCTCTTACCGCAATCCACCCCCTTCTCCAAACAGTCCTTCCACTTAGCTCCTAGCGCCCATACTAGCCTGGTGTTCCCACTACTGCTCTGGCCACTCCCCCTCCGTGAGCCAAACACAGAATGTTGGGGTTCCTCGGTGCTCTCCTTCTTGGTAATCTCATTCATGCCCGTAGCTTGAAATGTCATCTAAAGGCTAAAGACTCAAATGTGTACCTTCGCAATAACAAACCTAAGTACATATTAGCTATTACGCACTGGGTACTCTTCATTGTTTTAAGGCTCCTGATAATGCTAGACACTATTATCACTCCCATCTTCCGATGGGGAAACTGAGATACAGAGAAGGTGATAATTCGCTCAAGTCACAGGACATGGCAGAGCCAGGATTCAAACCCAGATGCGCTGGGCTAGAGCATATGTTCTCAGCTGTACGCAACGTCATCTTCAAGCGCCTGGCTTGATAACCCACTGCCTATTTCACATTTCTGCTCTGATGCAAGCACCTCAAATGCCCGTCCTAAACTCCCACTGAGTCACCTTTAACTTCTTCTCCTCCTCCTCTTCCGCCATCTAATTCACCACCATGTCCTGCCAATTCTGTGACCTAAACATACCTGGTCTACTCTTTCTTTCCCCATTCCCAGTCTAGGCCAGCATCTTCTCATGCAGACAGCTGGGGCAGCCTCCTGGCGGGCTCCACAGCTCTGCTCTCGCCTCTATTCTCTATACAACTAGAGTGATCTTTTAAAACTGTGAATACCAGTCCTTCCTTAAAAGCCCTCCACAGTTCCATGCTGCGCTCAGAGGACTTATGGCCTGCCTGCCATGACACACAGGCCTGCACTCCATGCCCTTCTTTTTCCTCCACGCTCACTCGGCCCCAGGCTTTCTTTCCTCCCTGACCAGTGCCTTTCCTACCTGAGGCCCTCTGTACTTGCTCTTCTGTCTGCTTGGAATGCTTTCCCCTTGGCTCTTTCCAAAGTTCTCGGCTTAAATATCACCTCCTCCACGAGCCCTTCCCTGATCGTTCACCCCACACCCAGCTCTCTCAGTACTTGGTCAGTTTTCTTCTTGATGTGGTGCAATTTGTAACATGCATTTGGGGACTTGTTTACAAGATTGCAAGCTTCATCAGGATAAGGGATGCTCTGCTCGTGAAAATATACTCAATGCCTGACACAGGGCACGGTGTCCAGGAGGCACTTGTTAAAAGTGGGGGGGGGGGGGGGGGGGGACTAGTGGGCTATCAGGGGAAGAGGAGAGTTCATTTGAATTTGAAGAATCTCACAAGGGTCTGTTTGCGCTCACTGCCATGAGGAGGCAAACTTTAAAACGGTAGCCACTGGAGAAGAGAAGAATCTCCAGCAGACAGATAGTAAGAGCAAAGGCCTAGAGAGCTCAGAGAAAGGATCCAGTGCAGAGAGTGAGGGAGGGCGGGAGGCAACAAGGGTCACATCACAGAGGGCAGAGGATGCCAAGACAGAAGTGAAGAACTGGCTGGAGAGGTCCAGGACCCAAGGAAAGCGACCCATTAGGAGGACATCAGAGCCTCAAGGTTTTAGGAGCGCCTGGGTGGCTCAGTAGGTTGAGCGACCGACTTTAGCTCAGGTCACGATCTCACAGTTTGTGAGTTTGAGCCTCGTGTCGGGCTCTGTGCTGACAGCTCAGAGCCTGGAGCCTGCTTTGGATTCTGTCTCCCTCTCTCTCTGCCCCTCCCCTGCTCATGTTCTGTCCCAGAAATAAATAAACATTAAAAAAAAATTCAAAGCCTCAGGTTTTAACAACTATTCAGAAAGAAGAACAGCAAGTCTGCAAGTTAGAGGCAAGAACAGGCAATGTTAAGAGTGAAATGTCTGTCTGCCCTTCAGTGGTAAGAGGAACGGAGATCAAGTTACGACTTACCATGCTTTGGCCTAATTTTAGAATAGCACAAGGAAGTGTTTAAAGGCTTCAAAGATTCCAGAGAAAAACCAATCCATTTGCATAACCAGATATAAAATTACATTAGAAGCTAGAATATCTGGTCCTTGCCCATGAGGATTTCCAGCCTGTCAAGTTCATTCTTCCTGAAAATCAGAGCCAGATGCAAAGCCTGGATAGCCAAGCCAGAATGAGAACAGAGATTTAAGATACAAATAAGTTAAAAAAAAAAAATTAAGGCAAGACCAAGGGTATGGAGGCAGTGCACTTGGGTAAGTCCATGATTGTCATTTATTCAAGGTGCCGGGCCTCAGAGAAAGCAGGGAAGTTCTACTTTAATTGTTCTCAGAGGGGAGCCTCATAATAATAATAAAAATAATAATAATCACAGATGTTGATCTATTTTTCTTGAATTTCACTTCAAAGGCCTGTTAAGGTTTGCATTCCTGGCACTGGTGGCAGCTTGCGTCACATAACGCAAGACAAGAAGCTGTGTGACCAACAGAGCAGGACAAGTTGAAGAATGTGACCACATTTCTGCATTAGAATCGAAGAGCCAAATTAAAGCAAGATGCTGGGTCCCACACAGTGCCTGTGAAGGCTGAGACAACAGCTCAACAGAAGAGATAGCACTCCAAACACATATTTTATGGCTCTGTGCTGTTCCTGAAAACAACCAGCTTGCACGCTGACTGGCAATGGCTGGATGTTACAGTATGGGCCGCTACTGGGCTTTCATTAAATATTCATCTTTCAAGATTTACAGATGTCGTCCCCCTAAGCGATCATTATAAACTGGCCAGGTTATCAAACCAGGGAGTTGGCTTCAAATTATAAAGGGGAATAAAACCAAGAACCTCGGCAAAAAACTAAGAACTAAAGGCACATTTAAAGTTACACACAAGGAAATAAAGGTTGAAATTTTGTTTCTCAAAAAGAGTTGTGTTCTACCAATTACTGAAAGAAAGGCTATTAGGATACTGGAGATCCTATATTGCAAGCATCTCCAATCGCAAGAAAAACAGTTTTTAAACTGATTATGTAAAGGGTACAAGTCTCTCAGAAAAGGACACAAGGAGCTGAATAAAGGCAAGAAAAAGGCTGGATCCCAGGAAGACACTCCAAATTCTGATGAGGATCTTCTTCCCTATCAGTGCAATTGCTATGGAAATAATCTTTTCCTTGGCTGTCATTTAAATTGTGATGCTTCTTAGGAAACCCAGGTTCTGGGATGGTATTTAAGGGAGTGTGTGTGTGTGTGTGTGTGTGTGCGTGTTATTCTTTCACAGATACAGTTATTCTTAAATTTAAAAGATGACATAATTTTAAAAATTTATAATTTTAAGTTGTTCCATTTTACCTGAAGGAGCTTCCTGATGCATTCGTGGTGGCTGTTCTTGGCTGCGAGGTGCAAGGCACTGTGTCCTAAATGGATTAAAAAAAATCTTGGAAAAAGAGGCCACACATTTTAAATCCCTTTCTTATCTCTGTGACAAAGACAACTATGAGGAAATAAACTGTTCTCCAACAAAGGCGGAATTGTTACTCTTGGTAAGGTCTCAGCTTCTTATCTGTAAAGTTCAGTGTGACAAACGAGCAGAGGACACAGAGCGTCCTGCCCACTGCATAATATTCAGGGTCTACTCCAAGTGCCCTTCTCTTGGGGTGCTATTAAACTCTGAGCTAAAAGCTGGCAGGTGACTCATGATACACAGCTCGGTTCTGCTTTCAGCGGTCCCCATGCATGCCAAACGTCCTGCATCCACCCCAGCCACACCAGGCTACGACTACCACAGGCCCAGGAACCCAGGAAAGGCCACCTGTACACCAGCTGAGAACATCTTAAACACCCATCACTTAAATCCCTAGTTTTGGCTTTTCATTTCCCTCTCCTCCAAATGTCCTCCAGCCCCTGCATGGAAACTACCTGGAGTTTTCAGATATTCAAAGTCCTTATGTGGAAGAAGGAAAAGAGTGGTAAAAACAATAATACACTACTAAAGTCGCATTTCTTTACATTCCCTTCAGAGCATATGACCCTAACATAAAGCACTCTTGATGTTTCAGCAGTCAGCTTTAGGAAATCCTAGTGCTGTACCCAACTCTCTCCACAGCCTAACGGGCCTAGAGAATTTCTAAGGAAGAGGGGCTTGGGGGCAGCTTCTGGGCAGAAGGTATGGCTACCAGCCCAGAAGGCTCCCATCTGAGGCCCCTCACCACCTCGCTGGACCCTGCGCTTAGCCTGGATTCTCTTCCTCCAGGATCACCACACAGCTTGCTCTCTCACCTCAGAGGCAACTGAAAGAGTGCCTTGTGAAGGAGGTCTGCCCTGACCTCCCCTTTTAAAATTCCCATTCCTCCGCCGCCCTTTTAATCTTCAATCCCTGCTTCATTCCTGCTCTTCATAGCACTGAGCACCTTCCCACACTCCTTTCCACCCCACCCCACTCTACACAATACACACACACACACACACACACACACACACACACAATTTATGGAGCTCGTTTTTCTTTCCCCACTAGAATATGAACTCACTGAGGACAGGAAGTTCTGTCTCATTCCCTGCTGTGTCCCTAGTCCAGCACTGATGATGCATCATAGGCTCTTACTACACACTTGTTAATTTCAATTAGAGGGTATGCTCATTTCAAAGGTCTGGGGAGGAGGTTTAGGGGCAGAGGACCAAAGCTGCCCCTGCCAGCCAACCCAGAGCACATGGTAAACTCTTAAATCCTCCATTTCCCAAACTTCTCGGCTGAGATGTGCCGAATGTCATACCTGTAAACAACCCATACTTTGGGACATGCTTCAAGCATGGTTTCAGTCTCGCTGCTATTGACATTTTAAACCATGAGTGTGTGTGTCTATGTGTGTATGTTGAGGGAAGGGGGGTTGTCCTATGCATTTTAGGTTATTAAGCTGTACCTCTGGCCTCTACCCTTTACATGTCCATTTGTGATGATCGGAAATGTCTCCAGACATTGCCAAATATCCCCTGGGGGCAAAATCACCCCAGTTGAGAACCACTGGCTTACAGAAACAATTTCTTTCATATGGTGGTCCAGTCTCCAAATATCATTTCTCCTTTTTCAAATAGTCTTCAATCTGTAACATGGACTGGGAACCTTTAATTATTAGAGAATCATACAGCTAGGAAATACCATATTTAAAAATTAGAGGATTTTAGGATCACAGTAAGCTGCACAAAAGCATGTGTAAGGTCAAAAGATCAGATCCCTTCTTTTCTGAGACCAGCTGCACTGAAGGATTTTAAGGGTATGCATGAGGGGGGGGTTGTTTAGGTGAAGCAGAACACAGAGGCAGGAACCCCTCCCAAATGGATGAGGATGAGGAAGGTCAGAACTAAGGCCCTTGGAAGTAGGAAGACAAATATCTTCTCTTCTCCTTCCTCCTTTAACTTCCTGAGAGCCTCCTCTTTCCAGGATGTATAATGCATAATAGTATCAGTTCGGTTACAGGATGCATTAAATAGGCTTTGGTGCGCTAGCCTGGCCCCCAAGCATCATCTGTACCAGTGTTTCTAAGGACAAACACGTTTTCAGTTTTAAACAAATGCCTTGCAGATGAACTTTTGGAAGCCATCCTGATTGTAAGTAGAAGACTGTTTATGTCATGTATACAGTGCATTAGCTTTTTGTCTCTGCTGTGGACAAAAGCTGTTCTACGTAAAGAGCACCCATTGGAAAAAGACACAATTCTCCAAAGACGAGATGGTAGGGAGATTTAAACAACCCAGCAGAAAATAAACAATAGGGTTTCATTTCATTCCAAGTGTTCTACTCATACCTGGAAGTAAGTGCCGTGTTTCTAAAGAAACACAATTCTTTTATTCCCTGGCCCTGAGCTATGTTTTCCTGAACCAGGAGCACAACAGTATTTTCAATTAAAACATTCTTAAAACCCAAATAATGTGTCATGCCCTGGACATTACACCGAAGTGAGATGTCTCTTACTGTTAATGTTAACACAAAATTCTCTTTCCAAAAGCAAAAATTTTCTGGAGAGAATACATTGTATTAGTGGCAGAATCTCAGTGTAATGAGACAGTGCATAAGTCTGGCCCCCATTCAGCTATGGATCTGTCTGGAATATCAGGAAACAATTCAAATAACATGGCAACCCTAATTCAAGTGCATTCCAGCAGAACTTTGCCTGTGAGTAAAAAGACCAGTGTTATTTATGTCAAGGGTTGTGGGCTATAACAGGTAGTGTAAGAAACCTATTGTTGAAAGGGAGTCTAGGGGCACCTGGGTGGCTCAGTCAGTTAGGCATCTGAGGTCGGCTCAGGTCATGATCTCATGGTTCATGAGTTAGAGCCCCTCGTGGCTGACTGTGGGGAGCCTGCTTGGGATTCTGTCTCTGACCCTCTCCTACTCAAGTTTGCATGCGTGTGCTCTCTCTTGCTCAAAATAAATAAATAAACTATAAAAAAAAAAAAAAAATTAGAAAAAGCTTTAAAAAAAAAAAGAAAGGGAGTCTAAAAAGGATGGCTCAGGGGTGCCTGGCTGGCTCAGTCAGTAGAGCATGTGACTCTTGATCTTGGCATCATGAGTTCAAGCCTTACTTGAGGTTACTTTAAAAAAATAAAAATAAAAAATAAAAAGGATGCCCAGACATTCTAGCCATGGAACACTTTCCCCCAAACTACCTCAGACAATAACCATTTATTCAATTCTTTAAGATCACTGGAGAAAATGGAGAAGAATTAGCTAATTTAATAGAGGAATTACGGATGTACTCTTCAAGTATATGTGAAAAAAATCTGAAAACAAGTCAGAAGACACATACAGGGCTAATAAATACCAAAAGGTGAAGTCTGAAAAATTGCAGTTTTAGATCAAAATATAAAGACATTTAGGAAAATAAAGAGAATTAAATAATATTCAACTACATAAGATTTAAAACATTTTCTTAGAAATAAGAGTTTCAGAATGCTGACTATATTTAAACAATAGAAGTATAATTTGGTTCTTATTTACAATTTTAAACATATTTAAACACCATTATCCTTAGTAATCCTCATTTTCTTTTCATCAAATTTTCATCACTGAGGCACAAGTCTGTTTACCTTGTTATAACCCCAGGAGAAGACCCAAGAATGAAAGACGTATTAGTAACCACTACTGTAACTACTAAATAGTTATGGAATTACCCTTAGTCTCCCCAGTATATATGTGTATAGTGTTCTTTAAGGAATTAAAAGGCTTTTTTTGCATGTGTGTATATCACCTGAAATATTTTCACACCCACGTTATGCTGATCATTGCAGATGGCTGACCCTTCTTACTGCCTATACATGAGTCAACAGCAAGTGCGAAACTCATACGATCGTTTTGTTTTTCTTTATCCCAAATGAAAATAGGAAATACGTTTTATTGGCTATAATTTACAGTTTAAATGACCCATTGTCAAAGTGTCTGAGTTTTAAGATGAATATTACCTTTCATATCTTTGCATGGCATCAAATTCGAGTGGGATTAGGGGGCATCATGGAATGGAAGTCCACCTTGAAATCCAAACAAAAACTAAAGCAGTCCTTGGAAACCCCAGAGAGAAAAGTCAGGGTTCTCAAGCATTCCGTTCTGAGGACTATGCATTACGATGTTTCCGTACCTCAGTTCTCGCTCTCCTAAGTCCCTCTTCTATGATAAAAGATGTTGTATTAGGAAGGTTAAGTGTGCAAAGGGATGAGAGAAAATTTAAAAAATGGGTGTGAAATACAAAGTGCACATTCTCCTCCAATCTCTGTTTCTACTTGCTTCTACAGCAAAACCTTCAGCATTTTTTTTTTCAACGTTAATTTTTGGACAGAGACAGAGCGCATGAACGGGAGGCAGAGAGAGGGGAGCACAGAAACGGAAACAGGCTCCAGGCCTGTACATCAGCCAGAGCCTGGCCTGGGGCCCGGAACTCAACACGACGTGACCTGGCTGAAGTGGCGCTTAACCGACGCTGCAGCCACCCAAGCCCACAAACCTTCAGCATTTTTAACGGGACAAATTGCTGCCCAGAATTCCCAGCTTCCCGTAAGGCTCAGGGTGGCCACAGATCCCGCTCTGTGCTGTGAGGTCTGAGTGTGTGTCACAAATTTGCCAGTGGCCATACTTACCTGCACACGGCGTCTGAGATGCAAGATCCCAGGAAGCTACATCTTGGAGCTATTAGACATCCACAACACCCTGGATGGCGGAGTCTGAATCCCTCACGGTGTGGAGCCGAGCTGCCGTACCAATGTGGGACTTTCAACTGACAGAAAATTCTATTTGTTGAAGCCACTCTTATTATGGTATCCTGTCACATTGCATCAAATGTATACACTCACTAATCAAGGGTGTGTGAAAGCCAATGTCTTAGAAGCTATATGTAAAAACATATCGTAATACCTTCTTCAATCTTCCCACTTAATGCTTTCCTGTCCCTCTATACTCCAGGGTGCTAAATGCAGGCACCACCACTCCCCACCCTCCAAAAAAAAAAAAAAAAAGCCTAGAAGTCAATTTTACTATTTGTCTGGGAGGAGTGTTTTCTAAAAAAGCAGCCAGAAATGCCAATTCTTACATCGGTGAGGAACAAGAGCAAACACAACAATGAAAGGATGTTAGACAAATAACGTAGGTCCAGTTCAGAGATGACACAGTGAGCTTAGAAGCCAACTTTCCCATGTGATCACTATATACTGGTATTGCCTGGCAAACAGGTGATTAAGGAAGGGGGAAAACCCCCAAAACCAAAAACCTGTTATGAGTTTCTACCAGTCTTTGGGCTTTCTTCTTCTGATTTGTACAATGAGAGCTGTTGGCTTGGTGATTGCAAAAAAAAATAAATAAGATAATAATAATAATAATAATAATAATAATAGGGGTGTCTGGGTGGCTCAGTCGGTTAAGGCCTGGACTTCAGCTCAGGTCATGATCTCACAGTGCGTGGGTTCAAGCCCCGCACTGGGCTGTGCTGACAGCTCAGAGCCTGGAGCCTGCTTCAGTTTCTGTGCCTCCCTCCCTCTGCCCCTCCCCCGCTCGTATTCTGTCTCTCTCTCAAAAGTAAACATTAAGAAAAATTAAAAAATAATAAAGATGTGAAGCCTTTTCAAAAGCCTCATGTGTAAAAGATAATAAAGGTGATAAGGTGATGTGGGTAAAGTAGCAATAATCATGATAATCGAGGAGCCAAATGCAGCGAGCTCTCACTGTGCCCTGGGTGTGGAGATGCCCACACTGACCGTCTTGTGGAAGCCTCAAAGACCATCGACAATGATGTGATTGTTGTCGTATTGAAACTATACCAAGGCCCTATCCTCTGACAGTGCTTTGTTCATAAGTTGCTTGTAAAGCAGCCATAAAAATTCTCTGGTCAGACTTCCAAATATTTCATAGGGAAAGATAGTTGTTAAAAAATAGATGCTAAAAACGCTCTGCTTTTATAACTTAAATCTAGTCCCCAGTTTAAAAAGTGGGAAATTATACCGATTTGACCATCCTATATGCTTGGTGGATACAACTAATAAAAAGGGTCAGTGTATATTTTGAAAGCAGGCTTTGTTTTTGTTTTTCTGAAAATTCTCCAGGGTAGTATGATTTATGGTCACAGATTTCTGTACCAGTTGTCAGTGGTTTTTGAAGAGGACCGTTCCTCAGTAACAACGTGTCAATATTTAAGTAGGTTTATTGAAAAGACAACACCTCTAAGAGCTGAGCCATTTAATTCATCCCTTAACCACCATAAAAAATGTTTTGGACTAATGATGATCACATTAAGGTGAGGCATGGTGACTGATGGATTCTGCTCTGCTTTCTTGAGAGGTAGGTGATGTAGCAACAAGGACAGAAACATCGGCAGTAAAAGCCATCATATTTACCTTGTTTGTTATGATGGGAAAGAGTCTGAGAAGCACTGGTCTAGATAACACAATCAACATTTCCATGCACATTTTCCTTGAAGCCTCTTCCTTCGTTCCTACATTCTCTTTGCACGCTTTTAAGAAATCAGGAGAAGTTGGCGCCTCATTCAGACACAAGGAAAACAATCAGTCCAGAGACCACAGTATACCCTCATTGCCGAAAATGTTAGCGGGGAGGGAAGTGACTGGTGGCTCTGAGACATTTTCAACTCATCATACGTTTGGACAATGTTCTGGGCCCATAAGGTGCCATGGAGTCCACCAATTTATATATATACATACATATATATATTTTAAATGGAGGGGTGCCTGGGTGGTTCAGTCGGGTGAGTGGCCGACTTCAGGTCATGATCTTGTGGTTCAGGAGTTCAAACCCCACATCGGCTCTCAGCTGAGCATGGAGCCCACTTCAGATCCTCTGTCCCCCTCTCTCTGCCCTTCCCCCGCTACACTCTCCCTCTCAAAAGTAAATAAACATTAAAAAAGAACAGATGGGGGTGCCTGGGTGGCTTAGTCGGTTGGGTGTCCGACTGCGGCTCAGGTCATGATCTCACAGCTCGTGGGTTCGACCCCCGCGTCGGGCTCTGTGCTGACAGCTCAGAGCCTGGAGCCTGCTTTGGATTCTGTCTCCCTCTCTCTCTGCCCCTCCCTGCTCACACTCCTTGTCTCTCTCTCTCTCTCAAAAATAAACATTAAAAAAAAAAAAAAGGATGGACTGTGGCAGTTCCCACTGCCAGGCACAGAGAAGCAGGCTGGAGTAATTTGCAGTGTCCCCTCCTCGTCTCAGTCGGCTAGCAAGTTGGCACCACACTGGGGTGTCCAGGCCTCAAGGCCCGACACTTTACCAGGCTCTGGTGTCAGGAGTTAGGGCTCTGGTAGGAAACACAGACTCTCCCCAATGTGTCATATGGCACAAAAATCTTAAGAGCTTTAAGTGTTAAAAATGATACTGGTGGACTTAAAAAAAAAAAAAACAAAAAGACAAGCATGTAGAGTTTATTATATAATGTGATCTCAACTATGTAAAAATGTGCCAGGAAAAATTTGGAAGGAAATATAGCAAAAGAGTAAAACTTCTCTTGTTAGGAGTAGAGGCACCGGTTAACTTCTTTGTAGTTTTCTGTGTTTCCCTAATTTTCTACGACAAGCATTAGAGAAACATATTTTTCCCTATGACAAAAACATAGAGGGGAAGAGATATTTGGTTACGCTAGAAATAATGACACTCCTGGCTGATCTATTTCTTAACATCAAATACAATGAAACGAATCTGTATTATAGTTCCAATTTATTTACTTTAAGCTAATTCCTTTAGATTAGGATTTTCTTAGAGAGGAAACCCCATCTACTGAAGAAAACATATTTCTCATCAAGGGTACTTTACCTAATCATACTGCCCTTGTGTGTGTGTGGCATGACTTTTAAGGTAATAACAATAAACAAACAGGGGCGCCTGGGTGGCTCAGTCAGTTAAGCATCTGACTTCAGCTCAGGTCACGATCTAACGGTTTGTCAGTTTGAGCCATGCATCGGGCTCTGAGGTGACAGCTCAGATTCTGTGTCTCTCTCTACCCCTCCCCAACTCGTGCTTCTCTCTCAAATATAAATATTTTTTAAAAATTAAACAAAACAATAAAGAAACAAAATAACTAGATTTTGGAATTAAAGATCACTTTAACTAGTGCAACATAAATTAGTATTTCCTTTAAGATAGTCACTTAAGGAAACCATTCATTCTTCCACTGGTTTTGCCATTTCTCACAGTATTTTTTTTGGAACTTTCTGTGGTACTGCTCAGGAAAATCATTCCGTTACTTTAATCACTCCCTATTTTTGACAAAAATGGTCTCACCAGTTTGATACCTCATTTACCTGACTTGACTTCAAGTGGCTTTTGGCCTGTCCTAAAAAAACAAATCTATTGTCAAAGGATAAAATTCCCCTAACACTGAGATTAAAAAAAAACAATAGTAATCATAATGCCACAGATTTTTTGAAAATAATTCTGAAACAAAGTGTTCCAACCATATTTTGAGTAATAAGAGCACTCTCACAATACCTGACTGACCTCCCCCCTCCAAGACTACTCTCAGGTGGCCAGGGCACTGGGGGGAATAAAAGGGATCCATTATGAATTAATGCGTGGCCTAGACAAAGACTATGAAAATAGACTGATTTCATATTCCAGTAAAAACTAACAAAACCCTGTTAGAAGGCATAGATTTTTAAGTACAACAGAGAAATGAAAAGCCATCAGTAGTTGCTTTGATCCTTTGGTATGACCGGCAGGGGCAGAACCCTGGGCTGGAGATCCTGTGGGCTCCTTCCTGTAGAACAATGTTCACAAAAGATAGGACTACACTTTCTCTCCATTTGCTTTGTTCATCATTTATCAACACTGGCTTCACATTAGAATTACTTAATAAAAATACCAGTCGCTGGCAACCTTCAGACAATGGAATCTGAATCTCAGAGGATAGAGCATGGGTATATATGTGTGTGGGTTGTGTGTGTGTGTGTGTGTGTGTGTGTGCTCTTTATTCTTTTCTTTCTTCTTTTTTCTCTCCCAGCCTTACCTTTCCCCAGTTCCTAGGTGACTCAGATGCACTAAAGCACAGTAAGGGGTGAGAACCACGGGCAGCTGGTCCAGACGAGGATCACAGCTTCTCTCACACAGCACATCTCAGTTAGCTAACAAAATGAGCTCCTGAACACCTTGTTGCATTGGGGCGTCTGGGTGGATCAGTTGGTTAAGCATGTGACTCTTGATTTTGGCTTGGGTCATGATCTCATGAGTTTGTCAGGATGAGCCCCGCATCAGGCTCTGCACTATTAGCTATTAGTGCAGAGCCTGCTTGGGATTCTCTCTCTCCCTCTCTGTCTCTGCTCCTCTCCCAACTCACATGTGTGCTCTCTCTAAAATAAACATTAAAAAAAAACACCACCACAATTCACCGCATTTATCATCTCAAGCTATGATGCATAAAAACAAAAATACTGTTTGGTCCATACATGTAACCTTAAAAATAATATTTTAAAATGGAGGATAAGAAGCATATAGTTTCTAGTTGAGCACATATAAGAGGAAAATACTTGGCACAAATGATGAAACCATGTCAGAACCTAGTCATTAGAGGTGATTCTATGTTCTTCTTTTGGCGTGTCTGTAGATCGGAAATTCCCCACAATGAATATGTCTCATCTTTGTGATACCTACTCTTGTGCTGGCCTGTTCACTTAAGAGATAAAGACCACGTACCGGCAGTATCTTGGGCAGTCACATCCACGCCATGTGTAACCATGACCCTGAGGCATTCCACATGCCCTTTTGTAGCAGCAAGATGAAAGCTGGAAAAGAGGTAAACACAATTGCCTTAAGATTTCCACTCTTTGGAGTTCATCTCCAACAATGTTTTGTTTTGCCTCCTCATGTACATTTTCTCTCACCTGAGCTCCACAACCACCTAGGGAGTAGGTATTATTATCAATCTCATTTTAAAGATGAAGAAACTGAGGCTCAAAGTGGTCTGATAATTCGCTCATTGACACTTTTTATTAAGTAATAGAGCAGGACCTAGATCTTAGGTTTTCCAACCTAAAGACCAGGCTTGGGGTCTTTATGGGGTGCCTGGGTGGCTCAGTTGGTTGAGAGTCTGATTCTTGGTTTTGGCTCTGGTCATGATCCCTGGGTCATGGGACTAAGCCTTTGCATTGGGCTCTGTGCTGAGCATGGAGCCTGCTTGAGGGTCTGTCTCTCTCTCTCTCTCCCCCTTTGTGCTGTCTCTAAAATAATAATTAAAAAAGATTCAACTACATTATTTATTTGTCTCTTTAAGAAACAAGAGAGCTCAAACTAGATTCAATTCCTAAATAGTAAGTAATTTTTCAACTTTTTTTCTGTTGTCTAGTGCTTTCAGCAAAGCCATTATTTTCAAGTAATACTCTATATAAAGAGACACTTGTCTGAGTCAAACAATGGCCAAAGTTCTTGGACAACATTAATGTCAAATCCATTGTTGTGCTGTAGCTGAATAACAGCAGTTGGACACAACTTTTGTTAGTGGCTAATGTGTGCCAACCATCTTACTACCCACTTGCATACATCGTCTCTTTTCAATCTTATAACAGCCTTTGAGATGAGTCCTATCACTATCTCCACTATATGGCAGGTGTCTATGCCCAGGCAGGTGCAAACAACATGAAGGAAAGCCCACAATTAGGCTCCGGTATTCAATGACACTTGGGCGTAACAGCCTTGCTCGGCATGTATAGACTTGCCATTAAATGAAGGGATAACATCCAAATGCCATACCAATCATCCTTTGCAGATCCCAAGGGTGAAGGGTACTTCTACAGGCAGAAGCAAAGCATAATTCCACTGGGCATTCAGGCCCAGAGACTGAGAAGGCCAAGAACCTTGGGAAGGGCTCCTTCCTATGGAGAGAGGTTAATGAGCCTTCCATTTCTTCTCCTGCCCCAGTTCTGTTTTGGGGAGTTACTTTCTCAGCTTACTTGCCATGCAGCATCTTACCTGTCAGTGAACAACCAGGTTGTATTTTTTCACAGGAAAGAACCTATAACTGGGGCCCAGGGTCACACCCAAATAGCAAATCCAAGAGCTACACAATTAAAACCCAAGTCATCTTGACCACACGCCTCTTCTCTGAAGGATGAGGCTCAGTGAATGTGGACAGATCAGCAAATGTGGACACTTCAGTTTTGATTGCAAATCAGCCATACTTTACCCGCGTACCTTTAGTAAGTCAATTTAACCTCTCTGAACCTACATTTCCTTCACTGTAAAGTACGAGGATTGAGTCAGATGATATCTGATGTTTCCTCCAGCTCTGACAACATTCTATTATTTTAGCTTAATTGGCTCTAATCACACCAACTACTTCTGCCCCTGTGCAGCAATTTACGTGTAATGTTTCCTTACAGCCAAATCTACTTTGTAGGTGTTTTCACATTACAGTCAAACCTGGATCATGTGGAGTGACTTGGGAATGTGGTAACTTGTTTAAATGGAATTCCTGATTAAATACAACTCAACAAGGACCGAAAGAACCTCCCTAAAAGGCAGTACCGTAGCTCTGCTCTCAGCATTGTTGGGCACACTGAATTTACATTATGTAAACTTCGTCTTTAAGCTGTGAATGGTTTATTTTAACTGATCTTGTTGGAATGTCTCTAAAACTTTTTCAGCATTAGGAACAGTGTATGTCACATAATTTAATTGCCCTTGAAGACATGAAGTCACCACTAAGAGCCTCAATTATCGATCTCTGCTTTCAAGCTATTAATCTAAACGCCCCAGGTTATTAAGACCTAATATTCATTAATATTTATCTTCTTTTCTTAATGTTTGTGTGTCTGCTTCTAAGATGTCTACTCTGCCATCAACTATGACCAGGGAAGAACTAAATCAAAACTATCTGAACAAGAAGACAGCCATATCCTATGTTTAAGATAAAAGTACAGGGATAAGTAATTAATGCATGCATGCACGCACACACACACACACAAACATACACGTGTAGATTATACAACTTTCGTTGAAGTATAACATATGAAAAGAAAACTTCACAATTGTATGGGCTGTTAAATTTTCATAAATGGAACATGCCCATTTTATTTTCATACAAGGAAACAGAACCTGGCCAGAGACCCAAAAGCTCTCCTCGCATCTCCTGTTGGTACCTCAGAAAGCTCTCCACGTGTCCCTTCTAGTTATAACCTCCCACCTCCCACTGCCTGTGTTTTTTATATTTTTTCTACTCTGAGGCTTCTCGGAGTTTCTCTGGATTGCACACTATAGTCATCAGGGGTTGAAATTGCAGACACATGTGACAAGGATGCATTACTGCAAGCTACTACTGTACATTGATAGGTGGAATCTAATGAATGCAACATGCTATTCTCTGGATGACTTGGGAGCTGTAGGGTTTCAGGATCATTATTTGGAAGGTTAATAATTGTTACAAGGCAGGAGAAGTGACGTGTTAGGCAGGTGGGTTCAAAATGCAATCCTAGGATAGAAACTTTTTTGGACATTTCTGTTTTTTAAAACAAAAGCCCTTATATTAACCCAAATCAACACATGATTGATGGCTGTAACACATTTTATTGAGGGATCCAGTTAATGATGGTGTCACTGCATATGCTTTAATAAACTGTGTGTGTGTGTGTGTGTGTGTGTGTGTGTGTGTGAGGCTTTGTTTCACCCTGTCTCTCTCATTACAGTTTAGATCAGGGGGTGATTTTTCTCCCTTCTATTCTAGGAACTCTCCAACTAATTCTCCTGCAGAATATTGTGTCCTACGGAGAAAACAGAATAATAAGAGTCTTTTCACAATTCATAATTTTATCCTCATATATTTCACCTAAACTTTCAGCACTCACCACTCTTATAAATAAAATCAACAAAGTACAAATAACTAGAAATGGCTGCTTATATAGATAGCTGCTTATATAAGATATTCATGCTTGTAATTTTACACTGCATAATCTCATGTTTTGAGCTAGTAAAATCATTCTTAATTGATGTGATTCAATTAAATATATCACGATTTCAAGATGTTTCTCAAAGAAAGGAGATAAAAGCATGAAAAGCAGAAAAAGGAAGGGCTGACCATTTTAGCCCGAAGTTTCTAATTCATTTTTCCAGACAGACAAGGAGCTCCACTATGTATCATTATTCTGGGTAGGCACTTCCAGGAAACGAGAGCAAAGCCAAGAAACATGACACGTAAGTTTGCTCGCAGGGAATAATTACTAATGCTGTGCATCATCTGTTTGCCCCTCCAGATTTGCCCTCCACCTTTATCCCCTGGGTCAGTGGCCCAGGAAGCAGATCTCTTATGGACTGCATCCAATGGGCTGCCTCATCCTTTGGCTTCTAGTTGGGTTCAACGAATGGGAGGCACTTACAAGAGACAGGAAGATGAGAAGAAAGAGTTCGGGGCATTATCCCCTCTACTCTCTCCCTGCCAGGCCACACACTGGCAGTCACGGCCCTCCTCTACGTCCTCCATGAAGTTCACAGCTCTGGGGGCCGGTTCTCCTAAAGCTACAGTCGCAGCTCTGTCTGGGTTTTCGTAACTGCTCTCTCTCCAGGCCCCTGCAGGTTGGGGGGCGGGGGGCACGAGGACGTTGAAATAGATCCCACTGGTATTGGCCCAGGGCTGCTTTCCCAACCATGCTGGTTTAAATCTGACCACGATTTTGTAAATAGTTCCTTTCTTGGAGGGTAATCAATTATCCTGTTAGAGGGTGCTGTTTCCTACTGGGACCTTGAATGTTGGGTATTCTGTGTGTGATCATCCACAGGACGAACTGTTAGGTTCCTCTGGATATTATTTGATTAAATGTTTATACAGGCAAATTCAGGCTTTTAAAAAAATGTTTCACCTCACATGTAATTGAGTAGCTTTACTTAAGAGTTTGGGGCATTTGGGCTAAAATGCTTTGACAGGAGAATGTGCCAAATCACTTAACTTACACAGAATATGTTATGGGGCTTCTGATATAATGTTAGGCCAGAGTAGGAATTAGTTTAAAAGGTACAAGAATACACCTCTCAAAGGATCAGAAAAACAACGGACTTAAATGCGAGCCACACGCAGTCTAGAATAAGTCACAGTGCAATAAAGAAATGCTAAAATTCAGATTTTAAACTGGATTTGGTCTTGAAAGAATAACCAATACCCTATCCATAGCATATGTGAGCACATACAGTTGTACCTGCTACAACTGTGTTCTCAAATTGGGAAAGCTTTCCAAAGTTTCTATGTGCACATCCTGTGGAATAACAAGGTTCTTGGTAGTGAACTGGAAGTAAAAGAAGGTCTAGTAAAATCTAGGTCTAGCACATGCTATATTCTACACTCTCTCTGTATATATAGTATATTGGACAGTACTCTATACAATCAATATCTACTAACTATATATACCACTCTTTAATACACTATAAAAAAAGTCTGTGGGCTAGATTTAGAAAGAGAAAATATAAAATAACCATCAAGACATGTATTTTGTTATCTACCGACCACTCTGATTAACTCCTTACAATAACCTATTTTTTATCTATTAATGTGTCATTGCCATAGAATTTTAGTCTGAAAATCACTTTACTACCTAACTTGGGACAAAGGATCTATAACCCGAGTATGCTAAACCAAACCACATAAAAGAAAACCAAAATGGTCAGTGTACTGATTTAGCTTTCTTTTTTTTTTTTAATGTTTAACTTATTTATTTATTTTTAAGTAATCTCTACACCCAACATGGGGCTTGCACTCACACCTTCAAGATCAAGAGTTGCATGCCATCAGATACCCCTAGCTTTG